GCTCCGTTATTCATAATATTATTAAAAAGTAATTATTATAAATCAGATTAATTGTAACCTGCATCAGTGGAAAATACGGTAAAGTAAAGCTGTGACACAATTTAGTTCCTATTTATGTTAAAATCATGAAATATGGGATATGAGATATGAATATGCAGCAAATTAATAATATTTTTCATTTGAGCACAAACATAAAACGTGACTACAATATCTTATATACGAATAATATGTAAAAAAAAAAAAATATACAAATTAGATTGAAAGAAATTTCTAGAGTGTAAGTAGGTAATTATTTCAAATTATTTTTTTTTTTTTTTTTTTTTTATATTCAAATAAAAATCTTAAATATGTAATTTAAAAAAAAATTGCTACAATACAAATAAATGTTCGACAATCATCTTTACCAGTTTTCCCCTTTATTTCTATAAACAATTCGGTATGACTTGACTTACCGATTCATAAATGCAATTTACGTCACCATGCCCGTTGGAATAATTATTGAATTTCATCTTCTAAATTCTGAAGGTGGAGGTATTTCAGGTATTTTATATAATTCAAATTCACTTTGTGATGTAAATGCTTGCATTTGTGGATTGTTTATTGTACCTTGGGGATTTCCTTGTGGTGGTTGTTGTTGCATTTGCTGTTGGTGCATTTGCTGTTGAAGTAAATATTGTTGTTGAAGGTCGGGTTGTTGTTGTTGCTGTTGTTGCATTTGTTGTTGTTGTTGCATTTGTTGTTGAAGTAAAAATTGTTGTTGAGGATCAGGTTGTGGTGGTATAAAACTTCCCAACCCTCCACCAAACCCAGGATTTGGTTGAGCCTGAACTCCTCCCGGATAACCCAATGAACTATTACCACCAAAGGTGGATGATCCAAAACCTGAGGGATTTGATCCAAATAAAGATGGAGTCGCGGCGGGTTGGTTATATGATGACCCTAAAATCGAGGGCGTACTGGGTTGATTAGGTTGATTCATAGATGATCCGAATAGTGAAGGTGTGGACAGTGCGGGCGCACCTAAAACTGAGGGTGCTCCGTATGCCCCTTGCCGTTGAGGTTCGGGTTGAGGTTGAGTTTGTTGAGGTTGACCAAATGCTCCAAATCCGCCAACCGCTTCTTGTTGAGCTAATTGCTGTCTTTTAGTATCAAATCTACTAAGGGTAGATCGTAAGTCTCTAAGGGTGACTTCAATTTGGTTCTGCATACGTTCATCAAGATCTTTTACACCAGCACGCTAGATTGGTTAAAAAGTTATTGAATTATCTACAATTCGTTCCTACTATGGCCACCTTTGAAGATCCTACTTCTTTCTGATGGACTATAATAAAAATATAAAAAGAAAAAAAAGAAAAAAAAATATTGATCTAAAAAATTATTAAGTCTAAATACATACGTAAGCTGTATCATTTCCACTCGTGCTGATGATATTATAATATTGTACTCGTAATTCTT